TAATGAACAAACAGTGAGTACAAATTACTGCCCTATAATTAATAGTGCAGTATATGGTATTGATGAGTATACGAAAAAAAGTCCTGTAAAGGTTAGCAGTTATTTATATTTTATAGTAATAGTTAATTAACATAATAGATAACAGAAAATCAGTTGTAGATGCTAGCTAATATGTGTTATGTCAGTATGGAGCATGTTTTATTAATATGATAATATTAATAATAGAAGAAAAAAGAATAAAATAAATTTGCAATCTTAGCTTTGCTTATGTCATAATCTTTATTTCAAGGTGATGACATATATGAATACTGATTTGTATTTAGAAACTGAAAACAGAAGAATTATGACACCATCGTATCAGACATTACGGTTTCTAATAAACGAGATAGACTTGTAATTGAACAACTAGGTCTCATATATGTACAGCATCAGACGGATTTATTCAATCTTATAGTTATGTTGCAGAAGTTTCAGGTACCTTGATGGAAATATTTTTCTGAAAATTTAACGAAATTTTGCTGAAATGTATTTGAAAATTTCTCTCAATTGACCCCATTAATTAATTTCATAAATATTTCAGCAATTTTTCATTAAAAAGTAACAGTTTTTAGTTTAATTCGGTAAATTTCATGATAATTATCTCAAAACTCTTTTATTACTTTTCAACAGTATATTTTAACTTTCCTTATATTTCATAGTATTACATTAAATTTTCATACAGAAAATTATGATTCATTTTGAAATATATTCAGTAATTTTTCAAAAACTTTCATTTTACTTTTCATTGATTTCATAGTACTTTCAGCAAAATATTTCCATCAGGGTATGTATAAATAAATGTGTGCATAACATATACACAAAGAATTATGTATAAAAAAAATTAATATAAACAATTTTTTTGATTCTCATAAAATTTTCTTATTTTTTATAACATTGTTTTCTTACACTATACAGGAAGAAATTAATGTCAGAATGAAAATTTGTATTATGTTCATATAATTTTTTTAAAAATCCAAACATTTTTGTTGCATAAACATGTTTCTATATAAGTATACCTTTAAGTAAAAGATATTTTCAAATAAATTTCATGCTTCGATATTTCTGCAGGATAATTGTACTAACTCTGAGGAGACAAGATGCGCTGAACAGTTGTTGAATAAATTTAAAAGTCATATATATGCAGTTACGGTTTGTAATTACCGCAAATTATATATGAAATATCTAATTTACGTAGTAACCAAATTATTTAAAGTATTTTATTGTCTTATAAACAAATTATATAATTAAAAATGATGAAATAAATGAATTTATTATTTAATATATTTTTATGAAATTAACGCATGTAAAATAGATGGGGCTAGTAAACGGTGTAAACTAGAGACCCTTTAATAAGAGACTGGTCAACTTGACAGTTGCAACCATGTTTCAGCAAAATTCTGCGAGAGAGACAGGAATATATACACTAGAGATATATACTCTAGTGTATATACTCTATGGGCGGTATTCATAGTCCGTTCTTATATTCAAAATTGTCTTAAGCACGGACTTATATTCGCTCTCTTCGTCACACATAGATTGTGTCTGACAAAGAGAGCGAATATAAGTTCGTGCTTAAGACGATCTTGAATATAAGAACGGACTATGAATACCGGCCTATATACTCTAGTGTATATATTCCTGTTTCTCTCGCAGAATTTTGCTGAAACATGGTTGCAACTGTCAAGTTG